TATATATATATATATATATATATATATATATATATATATACCAGAAAAAAATTCAAAAAATCATTTTTGTTTTTTTATATATGGCCCATAAAATCCATAATTGCTTTAATAATGTTATTATTCATGTTTGGAAATCTCGTATGCTCAAATGAACCTATATGAACCTATTTCTACCTGGGTAATCATCAGAAAAGTATTCTGTTCATTTTTACAACTTTTACTTGCTGAATTTCTTGCTTCTTCCAGTGTACATCGAGAAATAAAAATAAAACATCATGGTGAGAAGGTACAAAAAAAGAAACACTGACCTATTCTTTTGCAACCTCATTTCCCGTTTCCTCGCAGCATCCTCAACGACTACCCCATGCCCTGTGTAATCTGCAACATTGCAAGACACTGTACACTCCAAATGAATTCAAACCGTTTAATCACAATTGGTTCAAATCAATATTTCAAACGGACGACTTTCGAAAAATTGATTCAAACTAGAACAAGAAAATTGAAAAAAAAACAAAAACAAATCGAGAACACACAATTAGAAATAAAAGTTGGAACGGTAGTAGAGAAAGAGGAAATAAGAAGAGAGGAGAGGGAGACAAAATGATAAACACGAAAAATTATAGAAAATAAAGAGTTGAAGTCGGGACACACCTGGGACAAAGAATTGCGCGTCCTGGCCCTGTGCATACTGCACTATTGTTCCACCCGCTGTTGCCGCGTTGCTCATTGTCAGTGTGTGAAGCCCTGGCACACCCTCCCCCTGGGTAGCTATTTGTATTGTTCCCGCAGGTATTACTGGAAAATTTTCAATTCCATTTTTCCTTCATTTCTCAGCTGTTGCTTTTATTTGGCCATTTGTGACGGAATGTATTGGGATTTTTTTGTATGTTTTGTGATTCAAGCGGATGTGATTCAATTCAGCATGCTCTAACATTGGCACAACATTTTCTTCATAAATTGACCTATTGTACATGATGGAGTCCCTTTATTTTTTCACACATTTGTTTTGCATCGAGACATTGTATACAGAAATTGTAATCTTCATGTAATTGAATTCTACAAAATTATAATGTACTAGCGCAATTCAAATTTGTAAATGTTTAATTTATAGTGCGCAATGCGAAATGTATAATTAAGGTATATACAACTAAAGAAAAATATAAAATCCATAAAACTTAGGCCCTGATTGGTGGATTTTGTTTTTTTTTAATTCCACATGCTCCAATTATATCAGTCGACTCGGACGCGATAAATTGAACATCTACAAATTTGAATTATGCAATGTGGAATTCAGATTGCACAATGTGTAAGTAGACTGGTATATTGAAATTCAGTCAAATTCAATACGCATATCGTGTAATTCCAATGTGGGGATTAGAATTCATGTAGACAAGGTCTCAATGCAAAACATGAATACTGCGAAAAGATGAAAGAACTCCATTGTGTGGAATAGATGATTTATTTAAGAAAATACTGTGTTGGTGTTGAAGTATGTTTCCAATGTTCCTGTGATATTTTTGCTTCTTTGATTAGGTCATTTTCGTGTGATCTTTTTTTCGTGTTCTTGGAGGAAGAAGAGAATTTGATTTCGATATCAGGAGATCACGTATGAAAAAATCCTATAGGATTTCCCATAAGATATCCTATAGGAAGTCTTATGGAGAATTCGAACATTTTCTATAGGATTTTTCAGATAGGATTTCCTATAGGATTTCTTATAGGATAGTCTATAAGATTTTCAATAGGATTTCCTATAAAATTTAGGGTTATAAGAGCCAAAATGAGGGTCAAAAGAGTCATATGGGGGTCATATAAGGATCATATACGGGCCATATGGAGGTCATATGAAGGTCATGTGGAGGTCATAGGGGAGTCATGTAAGGGTAATATGTGGGTTATATAAGAGTCACATGAGGGTTGCATGTGAACATACGAGGGTCATACCGAGGTTATAGGAGGCTCATGGAAATCAAATGACCTTCATATGACCCCCATATAATTCCTATATAACCCCCATGTAACTCTTATGTGACCCCATATGACCCTGATGATTCCCATATGATCTCCATATGACCGCCATGTGATCCCCATATTACCCTTAAATAACTCTAATATGACCCGTTATGATCCATATATGACCCCCATATGACACGTTTGACCCTCATTGTGACCCTTATGCCCCTAAACTTCATAGGAAATCCTGTTGAAAATCTTATATGAAATCCCATAGGAAATCCTATCCGGAAAATCCTATAGGAAATGTTCGAATTCTCCATAGAATTTCCTATAGGATCAGCTATAGAAAATCCCATAGGAATTTTTCATACGTGCGATGTTGGAAAGGCTTAGGGTCCAGGACATTTTCATTGGACAACTAAGAACATTCCCGGTGAAAAATAGAGCCTGACGATTTTTTATCCCGCCAGTAACGTAGGATTTGAACATTTTTATTTTTAGAACATATCTTGAAATGTTAAAAAGATAATGGAATGTCTGTAGAGTGAAGTGAGAAAATTCGATTAGTTAATTTTAAAAGAAAAATCCACAAAGTTCGGTACTAAACACCGGCTTAATTCAAGTGAGAAAAGTTCTCAAGTCCAGAACCCTTAGATTCTTAAATTAATAACCTTTGCCTTCTCAAACTGAGATCATTTGAAAGGGATAAAATTGGGACACAATTGAAAATTAATTGAACCAAGGAGTCAGGAGGTATACTTTGAACAAAAAAGGGCTTATAAACATGAATAAAATCATCTCAGAAGAGGAAAAATCCTCAATTCAAGAATGAGAACGTTTTGAATTTGAAAACCTTAAAGTTCCTTGCTCCCAATTAGAACTTTTTTTCTGATTTTTAGTAAATTTTTTCTTGAAATAAACGAAAATGTCACTCATCTCCAAGGTTCTTTGCTTGCTAAATTTCAGTACAACCATCTGTGTGCAACCATCTCTCTGTTGTATCTCCCTACATTTAAGAGGTTATTATATTAATTTATCATATTGTTTTTATCGAAAATATCCCTAAGTTTCTGATGAAATTCGTCTCAAACCTTCGACCCTCAAAGTTTTTTTCAATCTACTCATGAGACACGACAACTGTATTCATTGCCCTCAGATTTCTCTAACTGTTCTCCCAATGCCATACCAAACACAAAAAATTATTTCTCAATTATAATTGACATGTGACAGTACACACAGGGATAGGAGGTATTCGAGAAAACAAATTGGAATAATCATCATGAATTATTTTCGTTGCCCCGATGATGAAAAGCTGATAGATAAAGAAAAAAAATGATAAAAAAAGATTGTAAAAATAGATGAAGAGAAATAAAATTTTGAAATATTAGCTAGATGAATATTTGACCAACCTGTTTGGTAGTGGAGCGAGTGGGAAGACATGTCACTGTCCACATTAGAGTCACACTCAAGGGAGGATTCTAGGGGAGGCAAGTTACCTGCTGCAAAACCGAATCAAAATTTTTAAATTTTTTATTAATTTTTTTTTCATTTCGACGCTCTTTTTTCACTACATATAACAGTCACATAAACGTAAGAAAAAATATTCTACTCATGGGGTTTATGACACCAATTCGTACAGTCAGGTCATACATAATCAGAAAACAATTAGAGATAAAAGTGTCGTGCAGAAAAAAATCAATGATAGAATAGAAGAAGAAATTGTAATGTATGGATTTATGAGTGAGGTTTGGGGTGTTGGAAGAAAATTTTATATCCAACACATAACTGAACGATCTATTGTTATCAATTATTCAAGAAAGAAATCGTGAAAACGTTGTCCTACTATAAAAATTTGGAAATCTACAGTTTTATAAGAGTTGAAAGATGAAAAATGTTTTATAAACATTTTATGGAATTGGAAAATTTTGTAATAATGATCTACCGATCACCTTGAGTGTCATTATCGTAATGGAATCAACGATATGATAAAAATTGATGGAATTATCAGTGTATACGAAGACAAGATTTAAATGGGATGAGGAATTGAATAATTTTTTCTCCTTTCGCAGTTAATTTGAAAATTACTTATTCATTAATTTTATTCAAATTGAAACAAATGAAGAAATGTTCAGACAGTGTTTGAACCAAGAATTATCGAAATAATCAAGGAGAAATCAATTTCTCCACTCGCTGAGGTCAGTTTATAATTATCTACAAGCTTGATGAGAAATCTGGCATCTTCATAATCGATAGATTCATAGAACGAATAAATAATGCCGAGGGATAATGAAGAACCCAAGCGTTCAATCGTGCAGGAAGAAAATGTGAGGGGCTTGTCACTTGTGCTTGGTATGGCATCCCAAAATTTTTTATAAACACAAATGAAATAAAAATAAAGAACTATTTTAGTATTCTTTTTTTTGGCAAAAGAATTTCTCTCGTGGTTTCTTTAGGGAATTTTCTCTTGTGTATGAACTGACATGCACATGGATTGAAATGATGAGTATTTATTTGATGGATTATTTGTAGGGTTTTCATTCGTTCTGTCTGCAAAAGTCAATACTTGTTCTTGTGCAGACATTGATTGAAAGATGTTGAATGTTTTTTTGTAGGGTGAAAATTTTTAGTGAGGATTTACCTGCAATTTCACTCGCACTAAGGTCGTTCAAGATTTTTCTGTAGGATGCTCGTCTTGTTAGGAGATCTCTTCGTTTTTTAGGAGAATCCTCGTCTGAAAAACTATCGTCACTACCGGCATCGACGACCTGTAAATGTTTTTGAAAAGTAGAAAAAAATGAGAAATTTTTTTAATAAATAGATTTTTATGTCAAAGATTTTCGAAAAATGTCATCACTGAGAGAACGTGGTGTATATTATTCGTTCCACAGAAAATACGGAAGATGTACTTCAAAGAAGAATGCTTATTTTTTCATCATGATAACTTTTACCTATTTTTCTGATAAGAAAAATTCCCCAGAGTCGATTTTTAAAGGAATTGTAGAATGTTAGGAATTTCTATTTGTATCTTTCAATAACTAATCCCAAAAATTCTAGTAAAGACATTGATTTCAAGTTTAATTGTTGAAAAAAAATATATATGAAACTTCTCTGTGAATAAAATTGAACATGGACAGCTTCGATGAATGTAATTTTCCATTGTCTAGAAAACGGCAAATCATGCTTAAATATTCAAAGTCGATTTTTTTTTCAGATAGATTAACACAGTTTCCCTGTAATATCACACAATAGCGAGAAGACTTCTTCTCTGGACTTCTTCTTCTGGGTTTTTAAACAATTTAGCATCAATATTCAATGAAAATCTAAGAATTCAGAGATGTTTTGAAATTGCTTTTTTGCATTTTCCAATGACGAACCCCAAAAATGAAAGTCAAAACGTCAAAATTTCAGGTTTACAGTGAAAATGATCAACAAAAACAAATATTTCATGGAACATTAAATATTCAGGTCAAATTGGTCAAGAAATATGAAACTTCTCTGTGAATAAAATTGAATGTGGACAGCTTCGGTGAATGAAATTCTCCCTCGTTTGGAAAACTACAGATCATGCTTGAATATTTAAGGTCAATTCTTATTTTTCAGACAGATTAACACAGTTTCTCTATTTCTGCTATAGACTATAAGACTGCTGCATTTCAGAATAATTTAGCATGAATATTCAATGAAAATCTGAAAATTCCATAGGAAACTTCAGTTGAAAATTATCTATTGCAACGTTTTCATTGAAGATTTTTCTTCCCATTGAAATCCTTGGAATTCCATAGAAAAATTGTTCATGCTTTAAATGAAATACCTAATTGATGTTGTTCTCGAAGATTCCAAACAAAGCATTGGAATTTCTGTTAAAAAAATAATCACAGAATAAAAAAAATATTCTTTACCTGTAGCGTTTGAATATTAGCTTGGGTCGACTGTATAACAGAGTTTGGTTTGCTGACAAGAATAACATTCCCCTTGGATATTGCCACCGGTTGTATATTCGTAGCACTCTGTATCACAGACTGATGGTTTGGTTGAATTACAGATTGCACCTGAAATCCACAAAAACCGATTAACCATAATCTCAAATCAATGAATTTACGTTTTATCACACGCAAAAAAAACTAAGAAACAATCATTGTCAAAATGAACGATATGAATATTGAAATTAACAAATAAGTATTTTCTGCGAAGCACAATCGTGCAAACCAGAACCAGCATTGTGCAAAAATATCCGGTGAATTCTCTCAACATTTCTCATTAATTTTCTTCTTTTTTGAATATTGATTTGCAATTTGTTCTACAGCGTTTTAGTAGCTGAGTGGTGAAAAGTAACAAGTCATAATTGACCTCTGTTAATTTTGTGATTATCTGAAGAACGAGTCTATTTAATTTAATATGTCAGGAGACCTGTTTGGTAGCTGATGAAATTTCTGATAAAAATGGTGTTTTTATATTTAACCCTACAATCACTCATTATTGTGATAATTTCGTCTTTATCAAGAGATGAATGATTAACTTTATGATATTCCATCTCAGGTGTTACTATTGATCATCAAAGTTTGAACAAACAATGAAAGAGGAGGTGAAATTTATAATTCTCCGTAAAATAATTAATATGAAATAATCGTAAAGAAAATTAAAGGGAATGAATTTCATGAAGGATCATCCATGAATCTTTAAGAAGCAAGAAAATGTTGGAGACATGGAAAGTGCATTAATCTGAAGAAATCGATATAAAAAACATGGAATGGATATTTAAGCGTCGTGGATACACAGCAGGGACACAAACAAGCTTCGTGTACCTGAGTTGTTCCAGACGTTGGTAGGGTCAGTTGTACAATGCTAGTGGAGGCAACAAGATGGTGTGTCTGCTGATGGGTTCTACTGATTGACTGTACCGATGTTGCAATTGCTGGTGCTGCATCGCCACTCTGTGAACCAGGTGACATTGAGTCAACTGCTGATCCATTCTCTTCGACCATACTTTCCATAGCCCGGGGACCACAAGCCCTGAAAAATTCATCATCTTTATTTTTGGATTTTTCATCATCTTTGGTTGAAGATTGCGGGGGAAAAATTGAAGTTTTACAGTTCAGTTCATGTTTACCCATTTTCCAAAAATCAAACTTTTTATATTCCAGGAATATTTTGTAATTTTTTTAGACTGATCGGGGAATATATAAAACTCACATTTTCAATGATTGAGGAAAATTGCAGTGGCTTTAACGAAATTAAATAACAAAAATTCTTTAATACACGATCTCCTATAGTTTTATTTTCATTTCTCACCTCTTGGAAGACTTCAAAGATGAAAATCAAAATAGAGAGCAGTGTGAAAAAATGTATTGAATCTAATGACCAAGAAAACACCTGGAGTACCCAGGCAAATAATGTCGATAGTTTAAATTTGGAGCTTCATATAACCTCGTGCTAGCGCCTACATTAGGTGCAAATTATCTTTCGTTTCTGAATAATCATCTTGGATTGATGAATTGAAATTGTTATCAACATCAGGAAGATAACTCCATCTATCAGTTGAAACAAAAACAAACCACAACATTTTTCAGTGTGGGGGCTTTAGGGCAAACATCCATTAATCATTTGAATGTTTTTTTTGCTTCAAAGCGTCTAGAATTGGGAATTTTTCATTTTTTATTTACAATCTTGAAAGACTTCGAGTATTGCTGTTGAGGTTTCACGAATATGTGGATCTTTTCATTCTCTTTTGTTTTTACCGTGAGATTCTGGGGGTAAATTTAAATTTTTATAAGATCAACTAATTTTTTATAGTAAGAATTTTCGAAACGAATTAGCATATTTTTTTTGGTCTAGGAGTTACAATTAGGGAATTTTCCTTCATTGTTTAGCCACAAACTTGACTGGGTTGAGATTTCGAGAAAAAAGTAATATTTTTCATTTTCAACAGAAAAAACACGGAAATGAATTGATCCGAATGTTCTTTTTTCCTTCAAAAGCTCAGAATTTAAAAAGTTCTCTTCATGTGCGATCTTGAAGTATTTTAAGTATTGATATTGAAACATCATCTTTTTGTATTATTTACACATCTTTTTTAATAATGCCATTGTACAACTGAAGCTCTGGCATTCATATCTGAACAAAATCATTGTTTTCTCAACAACAGGTGAGAAAATATGAAGTTCGATAATGATGTACAGTCGTTTACTAAAGTTCTGAAACAAAATACATAGGATCCAAGTTCAGATCGTTTCAAAACTTTAGTAAATAATTGTAGTAGATATAGATAAGTAAAGTTGATTTAACTTGACGGTAAATTTTTTATAAATATCGCTGAATGTGAAAAAGATGGTGAAATTTTTTCTCCTGGAATAAATTATGCCAAAAAGAATGTTTTGGGTTGAAGTGAATACTGAATAAAATACTTTAACGATTTCCACGGCACGAATGGTTACGTCTAAAGATAAAAACGTACAATAAAGCTATTTAATCCTCCCATAAATTATGTCTCGTACTCAAACAATCAACTTGAAATTATCCTAGTGAACACTAATTATCAATACTGACTTTGTTTAGCATTTACACTTTTTAATATTCAAATTTCCGGCATTCTTTGCCAAATTTAAACACGAGATAACTTCAATTCACTACTGAAAAAAAAGAAGAAAAATCGCTGCAAACAACTGAAAGAGAAACAACACTCTAGAAATTAATTTCCCCCAAAAATATTAGCAAAAGAACAAAAAAAAATTTCAAATATCTTTCCACAATTTTAGAAAGTAACCCCTAGCTGCCCCTAGCCCTCTAGAAAGTAACTCCTAGCCTCAAAAATTCTGAAGCAATCCCTTCACCCCACCTACAACTGAAAAAAATCTCTCATCTCTCCGAAACCTATGAAATTCTCAGTTTGAACTTTCCCGCCAGAATCTCCGGTAGACGAGTTCAACTGCGTCACATCACAAACTCATAAAATCCTAAAAATACAATAAAACAATACCCATCCACTCAGCCACCTCTCGCCTCCAGAGCCCTCAAAAAACCTCACAAAAACTTGACCGAATTGTCGCCTCTCCCATCCCACTTTCACAACAACAAACCACCGACTCCCAAAAACAATGTGAAAACCTCACAAAATTGCAAAAAGATGAAAAAGAACAATTTTCCCTCATGAATCTCTTGTCGCCATGTTCTCGACTCCACACGTTAAAAACTTCCCACACACGCGTTATTCCGAATTTTCTCGACTGCACGGGTCACCTAAGAGGCACGAGAGATCACATACAAGTGGAGTAAGGAAAAAACTCACATTTTATTTAATCGAATTTAACATAACCATCGATTGATAAAAATCGCATCATCATCGATAATATTATTACAATTTTTTAATTGATGAATAATCGGCCAATTCACTAACTTCTTGACGGTCCATGCCTCCTTGTTTATTATTTTCTTCCAGCTGGGGTTTTGTACTTACCAGTTACGTATTTATCGTCACCGACTTTGCTGCAATCGGAGTGGGCAAACGGGCAGGTACGTAGCAGCCACGTCAAAGCCTCCAGTGGCTTCGTCACTGGTTGGATATGAGCCCACCCCAAAAGACCTTTAGTGTCGTATTGTCTCTCTCTGTTTAATCTCAACTTTTCTCACTCTTAGTTTTTTATTCTCTTCTGTGAGACACTCGGGTGTTCTACGTAGTTGAAGAGAGGACTTCGGGGACAAAGCATAGGGGGGCGCGCGGAACCACTTTGATAGGGACAAAATCACACACGACTGGGGGAAGGACTAGGGGATTTCTGGGAATTTTCGAGGCGACGGATGAAAACTTGAAAAGAAAAAAAATTGAAGTTTTTTGGGGCTGAGGAATAAAACAGACTTTTCCTAGCCGAAAATTTTATTTCTCAATTTTTTTTTGTTACGGAAAAATGATTAGAGAAAAAAAAGATTTGTCAATATTTCGTATTGCTATTAATTTGAGATGAGACACAAATAGCAATGGAAAACAGTGAAGAATTCATGAGATTTTTTCTTCGAAAGTGCTTTTTGGTTTTAGTTTTTAATAACAAAAAATGAAATGTTTCGTTCCAATGATTGAATTTTCAATAATTAGAATCTTAAAAACTCAAAAATGTTGATCGAATAATTTTCTAAAAATTAAAATGGAATATATCATCACACTTGACTTCCGTGGCGCGCTGACGTCACTTGCTGACGTCATCGGGCACACTCGTAACCCACGGGAAAATAAATATGTATCGGGGATTTGGAAGTCGGTGAGAATAAGACAATGAAGCACGAAGAGAATGAGGTAGCACACGAATGAAGCTTTTTCGAAAGGTTTCGAAAGATAAGTGAAAAAACGGATGGAATTCTAAAATAAAATCTATTGACTTTTTTCAGAAAAAAAATGGTGATTTTATTTCTATAGAAAAAAGTTATTCCATGGTTTATTCTTATGTAGTAAACATTTTCTCGAACATTGTTTTCTTCCAGTAAACAAGAATCAGAAGGAAATTTTACCTCCCAACGGTTCTTAGTCGTCGATTTAATCCCACTCATGACGTCATTGCGTTGTTTACGCGAGAGACCGTGAGTCATCGTAATTGCAAGGTCACAGTATTTATTTTATTCATCGTGAAACCACTTTGATTCTCAGGATTTTTCCAACATTGTTTGTAGAAGGCAAATTAATGTTGGGTGCCTTCCGAATAACAAGGTATGTAACGTTTTGGTAAACTTTACGCCAAAGCATTCGCAATGACCAAGTAATTCACCTATGGTTAGGTATTTTACCCACGGTGAATCACCCAAGAGCATTCAGATTGGCCGTGTGATCTATACTCCGTTGAGGTGTATCACATTGTACCATTCACATTCAATGGGCGACTCACCCGGGTTTAAATAAAAATGGGCGCCTTGTTATTAAGATTGATAACCTCAAATGTGTTCTACTAAAATAATTGAAATAACTTTTGTGTATTTTCAGTAGTGAAATTTGATGTGCCACTTTTATATGTAGAGGTTGGAGAGAATTATTTTGTGCCTCGTGAGGGCTCTACGTTGCTGTGAGTATCTCAAATTGGGGGGGAGGGGCGGTTGCCCTGTACTCAATTTTTCATAATTTCGTATTTCTTAATGAGGATTTATGAGGATCGTGGGGATGACAACTGGAGGAAGTGGTCAGATCCAGCAAATTGTGCAATACCATTAATGCTGCGATATTCCTTCTCACTCTTTCGTCTTCATTCGATGAATCGTGGGGGTTTGGATCCCTTCATGGAGATCAATTGATCGGGGAAGTAGTTGGGGGTGATGATAGATTAGGAATCCTAGCTTTTTGGAGCAGATTTGTTTGTTCGTGGAACGAGGGGTTGGGGATGTTGAAGAATTGATAAGAATTTTTGGTGATTCCCAGAATAATGAATTTCCAAATAGGCTGATTTACTTGTATCCAATTGAGGGACAGGAGACAGTTTATTCTGTACTTATTAGAACGAAAGCGAAGACAATATTGTTTGGGAAGAGGAGTTTACATATTCATCTGCGAATAGAGTTTAAGTGAAGTTACAGAAGTGGGAGAAAGACATGTGAGTCCTTTTTCTCTATTTTCTAAGATATTCACTAAATGAGCAAAAGCTCTAACATAAACATAATAAATAATTTCTCTTATTCTGTTCCATGGCTAATGTTATACAAACTAATTGAAGAATTGAAGCATTAGCGTCGTAACAGCTATGGATCAATTGCGAAGGCTCATTTAGTGAATTTCTTAGAAAATAGAAAAAAAGGACTCACATGTCTTTCTCCCACTTCTGTAACTTCACTTAAACACTATTCGCAGATGAATATGGAAACTCCTCTTCCCAAACAGTATTGTTTTCGCTTTCGTTCTAATAAGTACAGAATAAACTGTCTCCTGTCCCTCAATTGGATACAAGTAAATCAGCCTGCTTGGAAATTCATTATTCTGGGAATCACCAAAAATTCTTATCAATTCTTCAACACCCCCAATCCCTCGTTCCACGACCAAACAAATCTGCTCCAAAAAGCTAGGATTCCTAATCTATCATCACCCCCAACTACTTCCCGGTCAATTGATCTCCATGAATGGATCCAAACCCCCACGATTCATCGAATGAAGACGAAAGAGTGAGAATGAACATCGTCTGCTAGGAAATTCATTATTCTGGGAATCACCAAAAATTCTTATCAATTCTTCAACACCCCCAACCCCTCGTTCCACGAACAAACAAATCTGCTCCAAAAAGCTACGATTCCTAATCTATCATCACCCCCAACTAATTCTCCGATCAATTGATCTCCATGAATGGATCCAAACCCCCACGATTCATCGAATGAAGACGAAAGAGTGAGAAGGAACATCGCAGCATTAATTGTATTGCACAATTTGCTGGATCTGACCACTTCCTCCAGTTGTCATCCCCACGATCCTCATAAATCCTCATTAAAAAATACGAAATTATGAAAAATTGAGTACAGGGCAACCGCCCCTCCCCCCCAATTTGAGATACTCACAGCAACGTAGAGCCCTCACGAGGCACAAAATAATTCTCTCCAACCTCTACATATAAAAGTGGCACATCAAATTTCACTACTGNAGGGAACCCCCCCCCCCCCGAAATTTGAGATACAGCAACGTAGAGCCCTCACGAGGCACAAAATAATTCTCTCCAACCTCTACATATCAAAGTGGCACATCAAATTTCACTACTAAAAATACACAAAAGTTATTTCAATAGTTTTAGTAGAACAGATTTGAGGTTATCAATCTCAATAACAAGGCGCCCATTTTTATTTAAACCCGGGTGAGTCACCCATTGGATGTGAATGGTACAATGTGATACACCTCAACGGAGTATAGATCACACGGCCAATCTGAATGCTCTTGGGTGATTCACCGTGGGTAACACACCTAACCATAGGTGAATTACTTGGTCATTGCGAATGCTTTGGTGTAAAGTTTACCAAAACGTTACATACCTTGTTATTCGGAAGGCACCCCTAATTGAAACGCTCCTTCATTTTTAGGACAGATTTCTTTTGCTTCCGAATGGAAGCTTTGTAATCGTCAAAATTTAAGTTTCCGATTTTTTGTGTCAGGGTAATTAAATATGGTCTAAAAAGTCCGAATATGTGATTTTTAGATGGTGTCTGTATGTTATATTTAATGAGTTATTCTTCTATTCTTCTTGATCTCGGAATGCTCCAGCTGTCTGTCAAGGTTCCTCCAGAGGAAGTGAAGGAAGTTGAGGATTCGGACTGGGAACAGAAAGGTTCGGAACGGCAGATTTTAATTTTCTTAATGAATTTTGGAAGGTTGAAAAAGGAGTAATTGTCGATCCAAATATTCGCATCGAGTATTAATTGTTGATGATAATACATCGTTATTGTTATCAATCTTTTTACCAATCTTGTTCTTTCCAGCATTAATTAATGAAAGATAGGAATCTTCTGAAATTAGTTGTAGTCATCAATGGAAATCAGGATTATTGTTATGATGCAAATACTCGGATGGCGTGAAATTATTGACAAAGGATTTCATTGAATGTAGGAGAGTGATATGGAAATAATGTGTCAAGGTGAATGAAAATGCACTCATCTGGGATAATTTTCAAGTTTCATCTCGGCGGTTTCGAACTTTCTGCTTTACAGACCTCTCGATAGCCTGGTTGACCGCGGTTTGGAAGTGGTTCTTTCGACAAATTTTTTGGTATCTTCTTCAATTGATTATTTCAAATTTTGTCTCTGGAATTGAAGAACATCTGAAAGATGATCTTTCAAATCTCCTATGGCTGAATTGATCTGTTCTTGAATGTCCAGTTGTACACTGATAAGGTCTTGAGCTCTTAATTGAAGATCTTTACGAAACAGGATTCTCGGTTGTCCAATGGTGTGGTTTGTTGATCTGTATGGAGTAAAGAATACGAGACATGAGACAAGAAATAGGAGACACGACTCATGAAACACGAGGAACTACATCGAAATCATGAGATTTAAGCCACGACACGTATGAAAAAATCGTATAGAAATTTTCTATACGGATTGCGCATAAAAATTCTATAGTATTTCGGCATATGATATTCGGATATTTCTATACGAATATTTTCTATACGAATTATTTCTATCCATAAATTTTTACATAAATGTTTGTTTCCATACGAAAGATGTCTAAACGCTCCAGAGAAAAACGAAGAGAAATGTGGCAACTCCGTACGGAAAGTACAGGAAAAAGAGAGAAGGTTTGACTTGAAATAGTTGACCACTAAAAAAAATCAAAAATAATTTTTACAAAAAAAAAAAAATTAATTTTTAGCAGTATTCGTGACTGTTGAATTTCCTCCACGAAATGTTCCTGATTGTGGAGACGATTGATCATCAATAGCTTCGTATGATCTTTTCAATACACCTACATAAAACATAAAGATTGATAATAAATTATCAAAAAATCTAGGAAAAAAAATAGAAAAAATTATTGAGAATATAACCAATTGATTACCTTTCGACATGTTGAAAAATTGAGCGAGCTGTCAATGATATTATGAATGAAACGATTTAATAAACAAAACAACTTCACTCATTTATGTCACGATTCGATTTTCAACTGAAAATGATCACATAAAAAATTACTGAAAATTCAATAGATATTTTTTTTTCTTTCTCGTATACCCTTTCGGGTTTTTACGATTTGTTCCCGTCCCACCCCAAACCCCCTGTACCGCATTCGCCAGGGACAAGGGAAAACCTCATTTGAGGGAAAAAC